TTGTCCCTGCGGCTGTGCCCCGCGACTACCGCGCCTGGGAGTAGCTCATTCTCCTACCACACGCTACGCAAGTTCTCAAAACAACCCCGAAAATATTCTCGGGACATGCTAGGTTTTCTGTAAGAGACTACACGGAGAACCAAGGAAGGTGCAACTCAATTTTCAAAACATACATCCTGAAAAGAAAAGCTAATACATTCAATCCCTCTGCTACCGAAACCGGGAACAGTCAAAGGAATTTCGTCTGTCTGTTGTACCTAAGCTTGGTAGGGAGAGTAGAGAGGATCACCGAAGCGCTAACAGAAATGTAGGGAATATATACCTAGGTGTATATCCCTTAGCATTATTCTTATACATATTCTTATAAGTATTATTCTTACAAGTATTATTCTTACACTTTTGCTATGCTTCTGATTAGCACATGAAGAGTCTTGTACCTGGTGTTCATTAATGCAGATGGGATAAGTCCTCTAAATAACTAGAAGTAAAAATTAGTCAGTGGGATGCCTTTAAACATAAGGAAAACTCCTGGGGGAACAGAAAGATTAGCTCACTTGGAAAAATTTAGCTGACTGTAAGGAACGTATTTGCACATGAAAGGTACGGTGTTTCTGGCTGCTCTAAGAACCGTGGTTTCCGTGCTCTGAAGACACTGACAGAATCCGAAGATCAGCATCATTTCTTAAGTTAGGCTCCAAGTATTCAGGCAGTTCTGGGCCCTGGTCAGTGTTTAGTCCATATAACTAACACCTTCTGCTTAGTAAGACTGGAAGTGAGAAGAGTGTAATGGTTAATTTGCTTTATTATTATCTGTGAATTCATAGCTCACAGTTAAAAGAAGGTGAATTTCTCTGCATGGCTTTCTTTTACATGGTTGTGTGAGATTTCAGTCCAGTGTCTTAAAAACCACTTGCTCATTTGACCAAAACCCTGTTCTTCTGAGACAAAGAGCAGCTCAGGAAGCACATGAAAGCAGCTGTAATGGTCCTTGTGGGGTTAGAAAGGCAGAGGCTGGGCAGACCTTGTGGGATTACAGCCTCCTGCTCCATACGAGACCTGTGATTCTGGCACTGCCAGTCACTTCCTGCATTGTGATGCCCAGGGAGTGGTGACAAAAGGGACATGAGACACACTGAAATCAAATGTTCTCTTATTCATTTAGAGAAATAGCATCCATGTGATGGTAGTGTCCAAGCATCCACTGAGACAGGTGTTGTGTAAATACATGGAACACAGAATCTGTTTACTTAGGTCCATAATACCAAGTTACTTGACAGTTTTATTTTATTACTAAACATACACACTGTAGCAGCAGGTTTTTGCAGTGGAGGAGCTGGCATTCTAGGTGAGGTGGACATCAAAGAGAAGAAGAGATTATTGGAAACTAGGGAACACAAATTGGACAGAAATAGAAGGTCCAGAGGAAAATCAAAGACTGAAATTGAAAGATTGTAGCAGCTTGAAGAGACAAACACAAACCAACCATACAGTTAAAACCAGTTCAAAATAATCAAGTTCAAGTCTTAGACTTGAATGGATGCAGAAGCTGAGCAGCTTTCCCTTACTGCTGTTACGGCGACTTACGAAGTGGAGAAGGAAGGGTGTCATGAGTGCAAGAGGACACGAATACCGACCTGCACTGCTGGTTGACCTTCTTGTGGGGTGTCTGGTGAATGTAGGTGTTGCCATTATTTATCCCAGTGGACCATTCTTCCCCATGGAATGGAAAGGGTATGTATTCTTATCTGTGGATGTAAAGATCCCTAGGAAATGCTGTGAATACAAACTGTTGAGTTTTCATTGTGAAATACTGAAAAATACATTGCTGTATGTACAGGGATTTGAATCTCTGTCAGCAGGGGAAGGTCTGACCCTGAGAGTGGAAGCAGCTGAAGAAAGAACACAGAACTGTAGGACAACAGTACTGCAAATGGTGGATGAGTTACCTCTAAAGAGTGTCAGAAATACAATCCCAAAATCTATGGCATACGCATTCCAGGAGTGAGTGTGAGTGCATTCACACTCCTGCCAGTTCTGCGTGTATGTGTTGTAGCTACTCCTAATTTACAGTGTTCTAAGCTCAAAAGAGAGGCTTGGTCATGCTTCTTTAAAAATTACTGTGAAGACTCACTGTCTTCTGTGTGAATCTGACAAGCTCCCAGCAGAGCCTCTTTTTTTTCTTTACTGTTTTTAGAGACAGCTGCAGAGCTGTAGTCAAGAATTGCTTGCATAATGTTTTAAGGAATGACAGCTAAGCACAATGGCATATTTTGACCTTTGGCATTAGATAAGTAATTGGCAGATTAAGTTAATTTTTATTCAAGCAGGGAGACTTGCTTTCTGCTTGCTTGTGAACTCCTGTACCATCATACAAGACTGAACCACACAGGTGAGTTTGAAAAATAGACTTTGGGTTGCTTGCCTTCCTTTTCTATTTGGTGGCCTCTTCATGCAAAGGAAGACCACTTTTCTGTTTTCTTTAAGTGACAAGCAGCACATGGCATGTGCTTGTGTGTGCATGTACGTAAGAGGAGGAGAGAACTTTTAATTTCATGACTGACATTCTAGTAGTGTTACACATAATTTGAAAACTCACCTAGAAAACATCTTTGTTACTGTGCAGTTGAGGAGCCAGTTTCAAGACCTACAACTCTGTGTAAGTCCCCCAGTGACATTTCCCTTTTCCTTTTCAGACGCTGGGTTATGGGCAAGTCAGAAAGCCAGATGGATATAACTGAAATGAATACTCCAAAACCAAAGAAGAAACTGCGATGGAGTGGCCTGGAAATAGGGCTAACTGTTGTAGTGATTCTGCTAGCTATTGTAGCGATCACAATGATAGTTCTGTATGCAACATATGATGGTGAGTACACATAAACTCTCTTTGAATGTATGAATAGGTAAGAGAATAAAAATATCTTGAGAAATGACCAAAAAAAATAATTAATAAATAGAACCCTGTTGTTAGTATATAGTAAAAAAACCCCTGAAGTTGCACTATTTTAAAATGCTATATTAGAAAAGACTGTGTTGTGTGGTGTATATGTAGCTGTGGTACGTAAACCATTCAGACAAAAAAAAACCAACCAGGTCAGCTCAGCATTTTTTGCCAGATAATAGAAAATCGTATCTTACCCAGTATATAAATTAGATGATTAATAGCTGTTACATCATAACCGTATTTCGTATGTATGTCAGTAGACAGCATGACACAAGTATCTGAAATGTGAAGTTGCATCCACACTTAATATTGCTGGACACTTACACAAAACTGCTTCTTTCCAACAGGGACTCTTTAAATTCATTTGTTCACAAACAGTTCTGATGAACACAAAAATTCTGCTTGTTCTGACTCAGCAATACTTCTGTTTGTAATTCAGTAAGCAAAAAGCTCTACAAAGTACACCACCACTGAAGAAAACCAAACTGCAGTGTGTCCTCCTGTATATGTATGAAAATCCTATTTTTTCCTTTTACAGGCTACTGCAGGAAGGACACTCAGTGAGTGTAGCCATACTAAGAAGTTTTGTGATTCAACAGCAAAAATATTAAAAAGTAATTCCATTCAGGGGTAAATCCCCTGATAATTTTTTGGTAAAGATAATACAGAGAAGCTAAAATTTCCATTTGGGGTCAAACTAGAATGTTTCCTTAGATTAGAAATTAAATGCTTTGTTTCAATTTAAAGTACTTAATAATTTTGTTTTATTACAGTTTAGTTCAATTATGGAATGGAAAATACCATTCTGAAATGAAAAATAAAAGAAGTTTTACTTCTGAAGTCTCAAAAGGAAATATTTTCATTTCCTAAACCTTGTATTTTGTTTAAAAGACTTCAGAGTGAATGTATCAGAATTTTCATATATTTCCTCTGGAATATTCTTGTCATTGTAAGGTATTGCTAAATTCAAACTGACTTTGCAGCTGTCTTCAGTCCATGTGCTATTTTTCTCTAAATTTATTCTTCGTTATAAAAACAGTATTTTGCCCACCTCTACTTGATCAATAGGACATTTTCCTCTGATGACTACAAAAATTCCGCATTGTGAGTGTCTAGCGCTGAATGACCCTAAAGGGATGAAGATTAGAGCCTATTCTATAAATATTCACTTACTAAGTGTAAGGTGTTTATTCATCTTTATCTTAACCGTACCCTGCAATTAAATGCAATTCCAAAGTGACTGTCAATGAATACAGTATTTACAGAATATGCTGACATTCAGTAAAAGTTAAGAATATGATTGTATTCTCTTTTAGATGGGGTCTGCAAGACATCAGACTGTATAAAGTCAGGTAAGGATGAAAACGTTTGTGTGCTTGCAAGCAAAAGTGTACGTAATTTAAGTACAGTTCTGAGGACTCTGAGGTACACACCACCTCATGGGAGGCTTCAAAAAAGCTTTGATTAGTAGGCCCCATTTAGATTCCAGACATGCCAAAAACAGCATAGAAAGGTCATTTTACTGGTTCACTTCCTTCTGCGGGAGTACTCATTTTAGGCCCCGTTTTAGAGTAGCCAGAGTAGGTAGGGTGGTTGCCGCACACCTCAGTCCTGCTGGAGTCACCCACTGGTGAAATTTCAAGGTGGTCCATTATCTCAGTAACTGTATGTTCTAGCACAGTCTGAGTATCTTACAAGATTTACTTATCTCTGTTACTGTCTTTTAGGTATCCTTCCAACATGCTTTCCTGCCAGCATGAAAGCTCATGCTGTGGTTTGCAAAATGATCAAATTATTTATCTACTTGATTTCTTTTAATCTCTGAAGATGCTAATTTTCAGCCTGACTTTGTAATGATGAAAAGCAGTAGAAAAAAGGACAAGCAGTAGAAGCTTTGGAGAAAGGAGGCATAATGTAAACTGAAGATCCAGCAAGAAGTGGCTCAGTGAATTAAGCAGAATAGTTTTTTACGCTTCCATTAAAAGATTTAACAGCATGCAAATATTTAAGGGAATAAATAAACATTCTTACTGAATGTTAGATTCTCAATACAGAAGTAAAATTGTGAAAGGATTACAGTAAGGACATTGAAGGGGAAAAATGTCAGGCTTACAACGTTGTGTAACAGCGTGTAGAAGGGGCATTTTTAAAAACTATGAAGTGCCTCAATTCAACAGAGATAATAATGAAATATAAAATGAGAAAAAAGGGTAGACAGACTGAAACATCCCCAAAAGAGAAATATACAATGTGGTTCTAATGTGATAATCTCTTTTCCTTTTTCATTAAGTACAGCTTTATTTTATTCACACATTTATCTCATTTACTCACTATCATCTGCTTTTTATTCTACACATTGTCTAGTTCAAGCACTGAAAGAATTAAGTCCTTAAAAATGGTGAGAATTCAGCCTCAAAACATGTAAAATGCCAGGGTAATACTATCACTGTGTCCTATGGAAGTGTTTTCTACCGGCAGGAAAATGAGCTCATTGACATCATAGAGCTTTTCTGTAATCCACATTCTGCTGTCCCTACACAGGACACAACAACTGATCTACTGCAGACAGGGGGACTACTCTTGTGAGTAAATACTATCATGTGTGCAAGAACTGCATACTCCAGCCTGGAACACATAAAATCTACAACTGGGCAAAAGGTAGCTTTTGTATTTTACCAGGTGTTAATACTTGGTATTTCCATACCATCCTGTAAGAGTCCTGGGAGGTAGTCAGTGTATCTGATAAAATTATAATCTTTGTAATTAAGTTTTAGCTGTGGTGCTATAGTTCAGGTAAGATCTAAACAGATGCAAAAGCAATGATGTCAAAGTGGAACACTTACTCCTGACCATATTATGAAGCGTAGCATCAGTGTGTTTCTGCCTAGCAAGGGTCAATTACCAGACACAGCTAACAATCTGTGTGGTCTATGGGACTGTTGTCGCACTGAAACCTCACCATGCAGAAAGCAGGTCAAGGAGCCCCCATGTGAAGTTTGGATGGGCTAGCCATTACAGAACTGTCAGTTCCAAATATTGCATCTGTTTGTAAATGATTCAGAATGGATAGCTTTAAGCAAAGTTGAGAGTGACCAATTCAAATTTAAAATTGTTACAGATTAACTGAGCCAGGATTTCCATGTCCCACTGTGGTGTAATGGATTTAAGGCAGAAATCACTATAGAAGTGTTTGGCCTCTTCCACACTTACATATCCATTAAATAAAATACAGTCAGATTACGAAAAGAGGTTGGTAGGGATGTAAACACCTAGAAGACTTGTTCGATTAGGTGGTCTCTAGACTGAGCAAGTTCTCAGCTCCAGAAGCAGAACCCTGTAAATGAGAAGCCCAGAATGGTTAGCTGGCTTCTGCTCAGGCCTTCAGTGCTCCAAGAGCATCAAAAATAGCTTAAAGAGTTGGTCAGAATTATATAAAATAGCAACAAAATAAATTAATATTTAAAGTGCAACGTAAAGTGCTTAAACCAGACAAATAAACTGTATTAATGTTAATAATAATCTTACTGTGATTAATCTACAGGTTTAACATTACTTCAAATCAGGATTTTGTAACAGTTCAAACTTTAATTTGGCAGCTTCTTGCACACCATGTAGGATAACATACGGGAAAAGTTAGACAGATAGATGCAGATAGAAAGCCAGAAGTATTAACTCTAGAAAATTTACTGTGGTCTTTCAAGAAATATAATTAGGAATAGACATTGAGAGAAATGGTAATGCCTTACACCAGAGCTGACCAGTACTGTGCCAGTTTTTTGCCATGAATTTCAAAACTTTGACAGAGGTACAAGCCACTGTAAAAGAATAAATTGAAGATACTGACATAATTTATAGGACATTTAATAGAACAGCTTCGAATAAATGACCAGAAGAAAAAATGTAATGAAAATTCAACTGGTTATACACAGGGTAAAACATCAGTAACTGTGTGATAATGTTATCAGGGTTTGTGGAATACACTGCAGTGCAGCATGTGAAGGTACCATGTAATTTGTACACATGTTTTCTGAATAAGCTGACATACTCTCAGCTAATTTTCCTGAGCTCAGACATCACAGATTGATGAGAATAGGGAATTTTATTCTCTCTCACATCAGTTTCACCTAGGTAAGCATATTGTGTTTCTCCCATATCCTCCCCCAATCACTGGTTGTTCTGTCAGCTTATATTACTTTATTAGTAAGCTATTACAGCAACTACTGGCAATCAGGAGTAGTACAATAAAATTAATTATTAAAAGTAATTAAGGTAAGGCTCTGCATTCTTCAGTGACAGTTAGGAAATGGTATAAACAAGTGAGAAGAGAAACAAACCCAGACACTGGTTCATCAAAGCAATACTGAGGACTAATGGAAAGTGTACCATGTGTTTTCTGTATTTGTATATGTATTAATCTGTATTAGAATGAAAATAACAAAATATTCATCAGTCTCACAGTTACTATTTCCAGAGCAAAAATGTCTCAGTGCATACAGCCATGAACTTACCATAAATCTTTGGGCATAAGTATTAACTTATAAATTAATTTACAGCATGTTTAGGATTCTGCCCAGCCTAATTAGTCCCACTGACTTTGAAGAGACGCTTCATGGCAGTTGTGTTTCTGGGCTTTTGTGGACAACAAAATCATATTCCATTGATTTAAATATATCCATGGTATCAGCCAAATAATGAATGGTTATCTTGGCGTTCAGATGAGGAAATTACACTCTTGAAGAGAATATCCTTCAGGAGAACACTTTATACGTATATTTTGGATGAAGTCCTAAGTGAAAGACTACAGTTTCCATGTCTGTGTTCTTTCTGTTATGTTTGCAGTATTTAAACATCAAGTTTTGATAAAAGTTGGTTAGCCTGGACCTGAAAGCAGAAAAGTTATGATAGACAATTATTTTTGTGTAGCAGTAGTAGGCAAGGAAGATTAAACAGATGCTGACTACAGATAGAGCAACCTAATTCCACAGTTAAAGCAAGGTTTGATATTACATAGGCTGATAATTTCTCAAATTTACACAAGATGTGAACTTCTCCTGGGTTTTGTTTTGGTTTTGGTTGGGCTTGTTTGTTTTTTTTGCAAAAGTGACAAGACAGTGGATAAGAGCCAATCTGCTTGGTGTCAGAAGATTTCTCTATCCTACCGTCACTTTTGGCAGAGCTGACACGCTGCTCTCAATGAGCCAGCTGTGGTGCCCAGTCCTGGCTATTGAAGTCTTTTGTTGCCAGACTAACACATGCCAGGATAATCCAAGGGATAGTGTCACCCTTCAGATGCTGCTCTAGCCTAGCAGAGAGATATATAAAGATACCCACCCTCAAAACAGAAGATGTTAGTAATAATCAGCAGTTATCTTCCTCTTTTACAGCGAATAGATGGAACTAAGACAGGAATAAAGTGCACCACTCCAAACATTTCCCTTCCTCTGGAACAAACTAGGGGAACAGACAAATAGAGACTTTGCAACTTTGGTTCCTTCAAATTTAAGTCAGCCTTGCATTGACTTCAGAAGGAAAAGAATCGGGTGCTGGTCATTGTACCTACTTCTGCAGTGGTTTTTATGCTACTTAAGCAGTCTAAAATTGAAAATGCATGTGTGTTCATAGCTTTTTCCATCTTCCAAGCACTGGAACACTGTAAAATCATCAGATGTAGGCCTAAAATATAACACCGTTAAGTCAGTGGAAGATCACAAGAAAAACTGCAGGGGGGGAGGTGAGGCAAGTCAGCACAAATACTATAGACTGTCTATTCACCTCTAATTTCCACCAGCATGACAGACATGGAAAATATTGAAAGTACTGGAGAAACAACTATAAATATTTGACTCACCCATGTGGGAGTAATGAACACTTCAAATCACAAGCCTCACCATTTACTAAATATAATGTCTGAAAAATGGGAAGGATATTCAGTACCCTGGGAAATTCAGAGGTATCGCTAGCTCTTACTTGACTCCTAGCACCTCTCCTTTCTGTGAGAGACTTTGTACTAGCATACTAGTGGTGAAGGCAGTCTAGGTGGAAGAGGAGTACCAAAAAGAAAAAGCACAGAAGGTTTCTGAACAGCAGCTGGGAAACTGTCATCAAGGAATCAGATTTCACTAGAAAATCCCATGTTCCGATCAGTCTTTGAAAAGGCACTTTAAGAGGGTCAAGCAGGGATAGCAAGAGGCAGTATCAATTTGGAGTAGGTCTAAAATATCACTGCAGATGCAGGGAAGCATTAACAGGAAAACTTTCTGGAGAAGAACTTAAATAGTACAACAAAGTCATTATTTTATTGAAATAGACTGGATTAGCTGAGTCTACATCATTCTTAACTAATTAAATCCCATTACAGTGGATACTTAACCTCTGATATGTCTTACGCTTTTTGCCACATTTCAGTACAAAGAAGTGTCAGTAAATGAAACATCTTACATGTTATATAAAACTGAGCAACCACTCACAGGGAGTAGGAACATTATGCAGTTTATCCATCAGTAAACACAGGCAACAGACAAGTATATAAGTTGCGCACAGTGAAGGAATAATAATTCATTGTTTACTGACTAGTACTTTGTTTGGTCTAGAACACTCAAGTAGGCTTGAGCCTATTCTAAACTAAATATATTTATTACTTCCCTCTTCGGAGAAAAAAAGTGTATTCATTTATTTTCTCTAAAAATCCTTTATGCCTTGATTTGTCTCGTATTACAGCAGCCCGAATCCTTGAGAACATGGACACGACTGCAGAGCCTTGTAATGATTTTTACCAATATGCCTGTGGAGGATGGCTTAAGAGGAACGTCATTCCAGAAACCAGCTCCCGTTATAGTAACTTTGACATTTTAAGAGACGAACTAGAAGTTGTTTTAAAAGGTCAGTGGAGGGTATGTTTGTGGACTATATAAAGTTTCTTGTTTGGCTTACACATTATCCTAATAAGATGTGGTTGTCTAGCAAAGCTTAAAATACTACCAAATATTTCATCTTCTTTGTGTTCGGTTCAGGACAAATCTACCACAAACTGCTTGCTTGGGGAATGCTGTGGAAGTTATGCTGTCATGTCTGACACCAGAGCGGGGTTGACCAGACCTGACCTTTCTGGTATCTGGACTCTGTGTGCTCATCTGAATATCGTAACAACTGAAATCCCTATCATTACCCTCATGCACTAACAATAGCAGCCAAGCTAGGTGTAAAAGAAAGAGGTCTGCGTGTGCCCAAGTTAGCTGAAATGCTGGAGCTGCTCTCTGGCAGCCCTGCATCCTGCATATCTGTATTCAATCAGCTAAATCCTAAAGAGCAGGCAAGCAGTTTTTCACCTTGTCACATCATAAACTTACAAATATTCCTTTTTCCACAAAATGTTATAGTGTCAAATTGTCTGTATCGCCCCTTTTCAGACTAAAATAACAGAGTCAAAGAAGTCAGTTTATACTCATGAAACATCCTCCAAACCACTCTCTCCAGACTGGATATCCTTTTCTACTTTGCCTATCTTTTGGTTTTGTCAGGTTTGCAGTTTATGGATGCCACACTGTTCCTCAGGCTTCAGTTTCTGTGGAGCAAAGCAGTTGTAAAGTCATAACTGGAGTAATTGTAAAGTAGTGGCAAAAGTGGGCTGCCCACAAGGCAGGGTGAGCCGGGACCTGACCGTGACTCAAGGCAGGCAGGGATAAAGACTTCACAGAAAAGGGGCTCAGGTGAGCACCCAGATGAGGCTTCCTATGGCTCTTCCTTACAGTTTTGCTGTTTTCAAAGAAGTATGATCCATGGTCACACAACTGCACCACACCAAAGCAGACCTTGAACGCAAACAGCTAAACTCCTGGCTGCAACGAAAAGAGCAGATTAGAATTACAGGAAAAGATGGTTACAGGCTGGTCAGCGCAGTTAGAGCCTGCTGGTACACTTAGGGCCCTGACAGCAATTCTCTTCACACAACAGCTTTGTCACCTAAAAACTGTCCCTGAAAAGTCAGAGCATTTGTATTTTGCCAGGGGTGATCCACAAAGTATCTACCTGACTCCTTTATGCTCAACATTTTAACACAGACTGATATAATTGCAAGGCATATAATCTCCAGAGCTTTTTTTCCCTCAGCTTCCCTGGAATTTGAGATGAACATGGAGTACTTATCATCCACCCTCTGGTCCTCAGGATGGTATCCACTATGGTTCCTTCAGAATCTTTCCAGTAAGGATCAGATATTAAGATGTATTTGCTGTCTGTGTTTCAGATGTCCTTGACACACCAAGCACCAATGATATAACAGCAGTGCAGAAGGCAAAAACTCTGTACAGATCGTGCATAAATGAAAGTAAGTGTCTCCTGAATTTACTGCTTATAGAGTACATAAATACCATCCAAAGAATTCCATGTTCACAGTCAGCTATACCTATAGTCTCCTAGTTTCTGTGCATAATTTTTTAGAAATTCTTCCTGAAAACTAAAATGTATTGATTTTATAGGGTTGAATAAGAATGTCCATAGTAAAACTAGTATTGTATCTCCTGGTTTACTAGCTTTTAGGTGAGATTACATTACTCTTCAGTTACCAGTTTGCTGCAGATATTTAAACTCTAATCCTTTCAGAAAATGTGAGTTAGCTTCTTTCGTACAAAGTATCAGGGAAGAGGTGCAAAAGAACTGGCATACCGGGCTTCTACAAAGACAAGGAACTCATTTATTTCAAGAATTTGAGATAGATGCTGCCACTGGAATGAGGAGCAGAGAACAGTTAGCAGTACTTCCTAAATCTCATGTTTTTATAGTTTCTATAATGTTATTAATAATTCTCAAAACTATTATTTAAAGCTATCTGCAGAGTAAAAATACAATAGTTCTTCAATGTCATGGTCGCAAGGATTTGCATACACTGTTTGACTGAAATGGGTTTTAAGTTAAATGTTAAAGCTCAGTCATACATCAGAGCATACTCCTATTGTGGTGATTGGGAAGACATATTTCTCAGCTTAATTTTCTGAAATCATTATAATAGTATAACATCTGTGTGTTTTAAAATATCATGGTAACTCATTTTATTTTCTCCGAAAGCTACCATTGATAGCAGAGGTGGAACACCTTTAATCAGTTTATTGCCAGATGTATCTGACTGGCCTGTAGCAACAACCAACTGGGAATCTTCCTATGGTAAGATGATGTGTGTTTACTTCCATTTCAGTTAGAATTTGTAAATGATTGCACTTTTCATTGCTTATCAAAAATAGAGATTGAGTGTACCTTTCATTTGCTTAGGTACTGCTTGGACAGCTGAGACGGCTATTGCACAGCTGAACTCCAAATACGGAAAAAAGGTCCTTATTAATTTTTTCGTTGGCACAGATGATAAAAATTCCACAGCACATATCATTCATGTAAGTCTCCCTGGGCAGCACTGCCTTCTTGATCATAAAAGTGCAGCAAAATAACTACAAGTGTAGACATAGAAGTTAATCAGAACATTAGTGATTTGAATTTTACCAGAGTAAGTTGTAGATAATTCTGAATCTGTGTAGCTTTCAATTATCAGTTTCACAGTGCACTGTCCATTCTTAGAGTTAATATCTCTATTCTGTGCACTCATACACTTATTCTCAGTGAGATGAGAATAACGGAGACATACATAGACATAGAGACACAATTTGTGTGTACCCTGGACAGAAGACAGACATGATCTACTTGCATATGCATGCAAGCAATTAAATAAACATGATTTCCTTACTAAGTACTTCAGGCAGAAAGCTCTGTCACTGAAAACCCAGGCTATGGTTCCAATGTCAGAAAGCCCACACTGGGGGTTGTGTTTTCACAAAGTGTTCAGATACCGAAGTACTAACTGGACCTGCAGTCAGCTGGCACAGGTACAAAAGTGGCTGAGGACATTTGCATGAGGAGTATGCCTGTAAATGCATGATGATCTCTGAAAATGGGAAATCCAGAGGAAGACAGTATTACGTATGGTGAATCCTTGCCAGCTACTCCTGAGAAGCAACAGTTATAAGAGCAAAGGTCTAATCTTTGTTATCAATGGGTAGACGGATCCTTGACTACTTCACATGAACAAATTTCAAAGATATGGTAACTGCCTTGCTTGCCTGTGGACTGTTTTGGCTTCTGTACATACCCTACTTCACACTGGTTATGTGTAGGAGACATTGTTCAGCAACAGCAGAAAAAAAAACCCCTCAACACTAAAAAGAAAGACAAAACGCATAAGGAGAGTGAAAAAAATTAAAGGTGGGCAACAGGATGAGAGAGAAGTACCATCGACCTGTAACTGACAGAAGAACAGTACAATGCTACACCATTTTATCCTTAAGCACTTTCTAATTTTCATTTCAATTTATAGATCGACCAGCCTGGGCTTGGCCTGCCTTCTCGGGACTATTATGAATGCACTGGTGCATACACAGAGGTAAGATGAAGCTGACAGATCGTTGACTCCATTTCGGAAGTTTTTGGCTGTATTTTTAAGGCAGACATATCCTCAAGAGTGGGGATAAACAAAGGGCAGGAACAGTCCTTCCCCAAAGAGACTCCAGTGCTACCCCTGGGAGACATCACTGGGAGAACTGGGGAAACTGGAACTGCAAAGCAATAATGACAAACATTTAAACAAGGTTGATCTGCAGCATCTGTGACAGAGTGGAGAAAGAAGTTCTAACATAGGTAAGTATGCATAAAGAGAGCCAAAAGGTAAATGAAAAGGATGTAGAGAAATGAGATTAAGGGTAAGTAAAAATAAGTTAGCTAAGAATGGGAGGGAGTGTAACAAGTGTCCTGAAGTTGAGGTGTTATAATATTATGCTATAAATGTTAGTGACAATAATATGCCATACATATTAGTGACCTAGTTTAATTTTCCTAGCAGCATTAGAAGCAAAGGGGTTTTTGCTTAGGCTCCAGTTGCTGGTATGTACTAGTTGGCTCTGCACTGGATGAGAAGACTGCACATTCCTCCAGCAATCACCACATGGCGGACATCCCAACCTGTCTCCCTTCCTGTGTCATCCTGCCTTCTCTTCCATTCTCTTGTAATCACTAAACAAATATGTGGACAAAAAGTAGTAGTTTTTCCATGCAATTCCTGTAAGATTATGCAAGTCAGAACAGGAACAGCTCCTTAACCTCTTTTAGGACCTCTTGGAAGGAAATAAACATGAAACAATTTAGCTTCTGCCAGGCTTCATGGCTGAATCAAGAGGTACCTTGTGTTAAGACAGAATATGAGCGCTTATGGATCACCTCCTGTTCTGTCACTACAAAAAGCAACTGTGTATCTCTCATTTCTAATCCTGGATGTGCTTGAGAGCTGAAGTACATGTATTTGCTGAAGTCATGTAGCTGAAACTGCCACCACAGTAACATTTAATTAGCCAGTTTTCTTCTGTGTAATAAAATGAAGAAGTGATGAGAAAGCATACAAAACACTTTTGGTTTGTAGGTGTTTTGTTGACATGCTAATAGTTGATACTCTAATACTGATTACATTTAATTACAGATCATATACTAGTAAAGACAATCATTACCAATATTAACTTTTCAGTTACATTATTATCATGTGTGATGGCCTCTAGGAGCTGGCTCATGTATCACAATTTGCTCCCTTCCTTTTATTACATCCACTGCAGAAGTCAACCCGTTTTAACCTCTGACCTACCTGAAAGTATCATGCTACCTTCCACTGCTGGGAAGTAGAGGAGGAAGTATCTTACAAAAAAACAACCAAATTTATCTCTGAAGGGCAGATTCATAATATTTTTACAAGCATGCATATTTCACACAAGAGACACTCTCCCTCTCAATCCCTGCACTCTGATAGCACCCCTTTCTTGGCTCTGTTTCCTGCTGTCTCACTCTACTCTTTGACCTGTATGTAGCAAACAAGATACCTGCCTCCTGCACTTTAAACTCTGGCTTTGTCAGGACTTCCCACCACAAAGCTAGAAGTGGAATCTGTGAACAAGATGCTTTAAAGATCTTTTTTTAAGATTTATTTTTCTCCTCCTCTCATACAGGAGTTATGCTGATGTGTAAGTTCCCACTAAAATATCAGAGTATTTGCGCAGTCCATCTGAAATTAGCTGAGTTGTTTTTTTGTTACCTGACCATAGAGTGTTCTGCACTTCGGGCCAAAAATCAAGTCCACTAATTGGTACCTGAAGATCTCTGTTGACTTACTGGTTTGGAGTAATGTCTGTATTGCATTTTTATAAATTGTATTTGGATATTTTTAAATGATATTAACAAACTTGGAATGCACTCTTTTTCATGACTTGCAGTTGTCAGTGGTTTTTTCTCTTTCTGGTAAAATAATCTTGATTAAAAATAGCAGCAAGAGTTCAGTCCTTCAAGATGCTGTGAGCCTCATGTCTTTTTGAAGTCTGCTATCAGTACTTTTCATGAGCTGCTCAGTTTTGCAGCACACAACCTGTTGTAGCATGGTACTTCTAGCAGGTAGGAGAGGCTAACAGGAGATGGATGGCAAGGAAGGTTCTTATCAGAATGGCTGTACCAATGTAGCATGCATTACAGGGGTGCATCCTACTGTTTCAGAAGCTGAACTTACCAAAATATTTCTATTAATAAAGTTGATGACATGCACACCTTATTATTTCTAGGTTATAGCACTTTTAATAGATTATGCTATTTTGGATAAAATAGATTTATTATTAGATAGCTAATCTAATATGTATTATTATTTGCATTTAAAAAGCATGTTGAAAACAGTATTTGATATAAAAATGAGTGTGGCTTATCAAAGACGTATTAGAATGATATTAAGTTCCATTAAATATAATGAGATCTGTAGATACTTTACAGCATAGCATTTAAGAGAATATACTTCCATATTTACATTCTTATCCTTGGTGAATTCTTTTATGTTAAATTTAACATATACTATATTGTCTCTAGTGTATCTAGCTATACCAGATTTAGGTACAGCAACAGGATTTCTAAGTGTCCCAAGAAGCAACAGAGGAGGTACGCTGCTTCTGAGAGTAATTTTCCCACAACGCTTATTCAACACAGTCCATCAGAATTTCTCTCAGTTTTATGTTTCTGGGAACATCGTTCTTTGGAAGTGGTATTTTTGGAAGTTGTAATTAAAGTGAGCTGGAAAAAACACGGGTGATGGTTTAAATATGGACGTACAAATGTCTCATTTTAAGTAATGAAAACATAGTACAGTAGTTGAGAGTGTTTAGCTTTGAACAGTGCTACAAATTATGCAGCAATTTGCCATGAGGGAATTTTTGAAGTTCATTTCTATTTGTGATCGAACAGTTTTTCAGAATGAATTACTATTAAACTGTTTAAGAAAGGGATGAATTGTAGCTCATAAAAATGGAGATGAAATCTTAAAGATAACCAAGGTATGCTATACTTTGAAGAGTTTTGTCTTTAAAATGCTTGTATTTTTTCCTGCAGGCATGTTCCGCCTATGTTGATTTCATGATTTCTGTAACTAAACTAGTCCTACAAGAAAGAAATATTTCTTTCAGTGAGGCTGATATTTCTGAACAAATGAAAAGAGTTATGGACCTGGAGAAAGAGATTGCCAATGTAAGAAAAACATTTTTAAAGTTTCCTTTAAAGAACTGACTTTTTTCTCAGTACCTAAGAAAGCTCACTGTAAACTGAGTTGTTCAGTTACTTGCTAATGTTATTTTATGGGACCAAAAATGTATGGGGCCTGGAGCACCTAAGAGGAACGCATAACAAGACAGACATGCCTTCTAAAAGCAAGGGAAAATATTTGAGTTAGCTGTTTTCCAAACAGCAGAATGTTTTATCCTAATCTGTTCACAGAAGCCCCTCAAGAAAAGAAAGAGCAAGAGAGAAACAGACTTGGCTTCTGTTTAGTCTGTTTTAGAAAGTGAGTTTTGGGAGATGCCTTCAGGCTTCTTCTCCCTTTGTCCTGTTTTCCTCGTGGGCTGTTTGGTTATGAGACCAGAAGATTCCTAACCCTTGGCCTGCCATGCAACATAAAGTAATGTTTGTCCTGCACAAGCTGCTCCACAATGCTGATTGTTCCAAGTGCATTTTTAATCAAACACTGTTCTCCATGGAAGTATGGCTTAGAGAAATAGCTGGAATTTGAACTTGTGTGGAGAAAAACAACTGGAAATTCAAACATTCATGAGCAAAAATGTGGCTTATGATTATTGTTTCAGAAGGAGCAGAAGCTAAGGATAACTGCAAAACATGCTAAATGCAAATTTTCTAGCTTCAGCTATTTTTCAAGTTACACTTACAGTAAGGGCATAAGTTTGGCAGAGGAAGACCTTCCTCCCCCATTTGTATAAGCTAAAACCACCTGATTTTGGTTTTCTTCACATTTTCCTGAGAAACACACCTCTGGGCTTAGATCAGAGATGGAAAATTATTACAAGAAAAGGAGTTAACTGGAGAAAGATTTAAAGGGGTATACGAAAGGAAACCACAACTGAAATGTCTCCGCAGCAGCTGGTCTCAATATGGAGTACAGTTGGTAGTGGGTAAGCTGCTATTTTCTCAGGTTTTAACCTCTTTCATCAAAAACTTAGCACCAGCCTGAATGTCACTGGAAGAGAGCTGGCAGAAGAAAAAGGTTTCTTTAGAAAAGGATGGAGACAGATAAAAGCAGACTTGGCATGACTGATTTTTCAAAACAGTTTAAATGGTATAATCTACTGTTCTCACTCCTGAGTCATTTAAGAGTACTTGAGGTGGTAGTGATGGAGGTTCTTCCATGAATTACTCTCATGGATCACAGTATCACTCTTCTCCCATAGTTGTTACTGTACCTGCATTTTCTCTCTTTGCCATCAAAACAGTGGAGGTTAAGAGGGGGGTGGAATATGAGGGGCACAAGTGCTGATGCTGTCACAAGATACTTCTGCATGATCATAAAGGTACAAAAAAGGATACAAGAATGCACTTCAGACACCTGCAGAAGCATCCTAGCAAGGGACACAACTTGTACTTGAGGAAAAGAACCTAAAGATAACCAAGACAGTATTCAGAGACCAAGGGAGTAGTTAATATTAGGTTCTGGTTTTGTCTCCTCACAGTCTACTCTGCACCTTGGTTCCAGAGCCCTCCCTGTGACACTTGCTGTGTAGAGATGCCAGTGAAACTTGCCTCATAAAGCAGCATCAGAATCACAGGTCTCTGTTGTCAGGCAGTTTTACTGCCTGTAAGAAATGGCCCTAATACAGTCTTGCCATAAGGTGTTAACGTATGCATATTTTTAACACGCTGGTGTAAAACCACACTGCCCAGACTAATAAAAAGCTTATTTGAGTTATGACTCCCTTTCTAGAGAGTGGTTCCAGAAAGAACGTATCAGAGAGCACCTGTATCCTGATGAGAACACTCACACTGCATTCCTACCACTGCACACTGGTCTCCCTATTCTCAATAAATACATCTCTTTTGTTCCTTTCTCCCAAGATTTTGCACTTCACATCATCCCATGAATATCATTCTTGTGTTGAGTGTATCCACTAGGAACAGTGTCTGCTCAGTGCTTTGAGTGGTATGGGTCTATGTTCCGATGAATGTCCCTGCACAGCCTGAGCTGTTGATGTTCTAATGCAAAATAAATCCAAAAAGTAAAGCTGCATTGTACTGTCACAGATTTAGTTCATTTAATCTGTCCTTTTATATAATTTTATCTATAAAATGCTGTCCATATTTACATGTAAGGTACTTTACAGTTAATGCAAACTTACAGTAATGTATTCAGCCAGAAATACTTGTTTTCTTTCTTTTTACTTCCACTTACCAAAATTCATGTGAACTTATTCAATGTACTCAGTAATTTTCTCATTATTATCTCTGATAGGCAACAACAAAGTCTGAAGACAGGAATGATCCACTTCTGCTGTACAATAAAATGACCTTGGCACAACTCCAAAACAATTTCTCCTTGGAAATTGATCATAAGGTGAGTGATTGATAATCCGTTATTTTAACCTCTAATTTCTGACTGATGGATTAAACAGCAAAGCCTGACAGTTTTTTCTTTTGAAGACATTCCTTTCTTGAGCTGAGACATATTTGAAATTAACAGGATCCCTCACATGTACACTGTCTTACCTAAACATCTGATGACATTAAACTGTAAGTGAAAGACTGTGCTTCTGTTCCTACTGTTTCTCCTAACTTGAAGGCAGATTTTGCCCTTTGCTTCAACATTAGAAGATGGAAAAGGACAAAGGAAAAAAAAAATCATGAGTTTGATTTACCCTCAGGGATTCAGGATGGTAACTCTTGCAAAACTTGCACGTACAGAACCCCTGCTGGAAACCAGGAGAGTATTCTTTGCAGAGTACAAATGAATTCCCTTCCTGCAATTACCACAGCAGCTCCAGAGGGCCCAGGATAAAAGTTAAGACTTTAGTCACTGATTGATCTAAGTAAGTTGTAGTGCGACTATTCAGGCCTTCTCTGTTTATCCAGAGCTGCACATTCAGAACAAAAAAGTCCTGTTTTCCCAAAGCAAGCTAAAAGGGACCCAGGAAGTCATGGCTATGAATCAGGAAAATCCTCCCCATTCCTCCCACTGTAGCTCCCCCCCAGGCAGAGTTTCAGCTCCACCTTTTCTCTTACCCTGAGCCACATGCTGGTTGTGCAGTATAACCTCTAATTCATGGCACCACAAAATCCAGCTGAAGAACAGCCGAAGATTTAATAACATATGTGTGCCTCTTCAGTAACATTACATCTTACTAGACAGGTATAGTTTTTATCATCAATGACTTTTGTGATAGGACAAGGGAGAATGCTTTACTGAAAGAGGGTAGATTTGGATTAGATCTAAGGAAGTTTTTTCCCGTGAGGGTGGTGAGGCACTGGCACAGGTTGCCCAGAGAAGATGTGGCTGCCCCATCCCTGGCAGTGTTCAAGGACGGGGCTTTGCGCAACCTGGTCTAGTGGAAGGTGTCCCTGCCCATGTCAGGGGGGTTAGAACTATATGGTCTTTAAGATCCCTCCCAACCCAAACCATTCCATGGTTCTATGTTTCTACTTCAGTCCCCTGCACAACTGGCAAACAGGTTAACTAATGTGTCACACGGAAGTACTGTGGTCTGACAGGCAGGAGTACATCACTGAGTCTTTTGAGGCCAGTAAGGTACTGGCCTCAGTACAGTAAGGTACTATGAAATACTATTATTGCTACCAGTGATCTCCTAATCACTGCTGGTTTAATTGACTTTAAATTCTTCAAGTTTAAATTATACGACAGCTCACTTCTGCCTAGCTTAATTAGTTTCATAATTTACCTTCTCCCCATGTCTCAGTTGAACGGTTACCATTACAGTCATGTCAGAAACTAACTTTTCTTGTCACAGAATAGTATTGCCCTGTTTATTTTTAGCTTCTGGGGAGTGCTGCAGATCAGCAATAATCATCTGCTCTAAATTTATCCAAAAATGCTCAAAAGACACATGATGAAAGTTGGTAGCACTGTTGTAACGGTCTAAGGATAGAACAGCAATTATCCCTAAGATTAGCTTGAAGTTTGCTGCCTCACTTTCAAAACCTCAAGTGATTCTAGTCCTGAAAGCTTATCCGCTCTCCTCAGCTACAGCAGTTTGTCTGATGAAAAATGTAGACTCCTTCAATAAAACTTTCCTCTCAAAAGATACAGACTAGGAAAAACAAGCGTGAGTGTGTGTTCTCCAGTCCATCCTTTCAGCCATCTTCTGTCGGAGGCACATGGTATTGCTAACCAAAGACTTCTCAAAGAGAAACTGTTTTTCTTAACAGTGAATGAGTAAGAGTTCCTGATAGAGAGTGCCCACACAGTCAAATAATGCTCTGGTCAGACTAGATGGACACTACAGAGTGGAAACGGGAAAGAATTTTCATAGGTCATGAAAGTTATGTGAGTCCCTTGCAAAGGTGAATACCAGCACAAAGAAAATGGGGGATTAGAACCAGAGAGGCAGAAAACTAACAAGAACCCTAACCCTTGTCTGGGATTTGTCTGTCAGAGCATGCTGCAGGTTGACCTACTACTGAATCAGTTCCTTCTCCAATATCTAGTACTGCGGCATGCAGAGGAACATTCATTATAGAGTGGATTTAGTGTGTTTGATTTAAAGCCTATTAAAATAAATCCTTTTATGGACTTCAGTATACTTCAGGACAAGTCCTTACCATATGCTTCAGAATGGATTGTCAAGTTTGCCACGAATCATACTGTCCCATAGATACAGAGGTACTGAGAATGGGGCTGTTAGTCATGCTTTGATTTAAAAGTTCTTAGCCAAATACAGCAAAAAGGCAACTGAAAATTTTACTTAAAATACCATTTCTGCTTTTCCAGCCCATAAGGAAAGGGTCATAACATTTTTAATTAATTAGCTTGAAATAAAAGCAATGTCTCAACCCTTTCTGCTAGCACCCTATTTTTAATACCATTTGAGAGCACAGAGGGTATAAACTAGCTCTATTATTATGATGACTCCATTTTCAGGTAGTGAAGCTATTAGGAAAACTAAAGGCAGAGCATTTGTGTTATGCAAACACAAACTGGAAAAAAACCCCACAGCTAAATGCTGCTTTTTTATGATTTAACCATGTAATAATGCATATTGATTTTCCAGGTATTCAACTGGTCAAAGTTCATAAATGATATAATGTCAACTGTACAAATTAACGTTGAGAACACTGAACATGTCGTTGTCTATGATCCAGAATACCTTATCAGGCTGAAGTCTATTCTTAATAAATACACTCCCAGGTAGGTATGTTAGGTATTTCTGTAATTTGCATTTTATTTCTAGTAAGCTTAAAAAGCCCAAAAGCATTACCAGCTTATTACTGGTGTTTTTTTAAACAGAGACCTTCAAAATTACATGATCTGGCGATTCGTAATGGATCTTGTCAACAGCCTAAGCCGTAACTACAAGGACACGAGGAATACTTTTCGTAAGGTGCAGAAATCGATCTCACTTTAAGTTGCAAAGATGACTTCTGTGAACCACAAAAGATACTTTTTTTAATGCAGCAGTAATATAAAAAACTTTATGTATTTTGAATTTTGCACAGAAAAGCTAGATGTGTTTAGATCTTTAGATGGAGATTTATTTAAAGCAAAAAACCCCTATGTTCTCTATGATGTTGTAGTTGAGAATTTATGCCCCATGAGATCAGAGGGTGTAATTTCACAGGCACCAGCACTGTACATGTACAAATCCGGAGTAATGCACTTTAATTGTGAGTTATTTTTACTAATAAGCAGTTAAGTTTGTGTTGCTGTAGAAAGCACCACTCTGTTTTTTCTTACGTACCTCTGATGACACTAGGGTTAGTTAAAAAGAGTCTAGCTCGGGGTTCCTGTGAGGGGCAGTCCTGATCTGGGGCCATTCTACCATGGCCACAAGTAGCCCTCTACCCAAGTCATGCCAACACCAGTTAACTATGATTGACTAAGATGAGCTCCAGCAGCACAAAGTGACCTACCAGAGTCTACATTGCACAGTCATTCTAAATTAGGTATTATATTAATTAAGCTCAGTACTGCTATTGTTTATTACTGTTTTTTCCTTAAGTTCTGGCGAGAGGGGTATTTACTTTTCCTATACAAGCTTTTGCTATACAAGCAAATGCCTACTGATGCACCCTGTTTCTGTGCAGGGAGTATCTAAGAAAAAAATAGATTAAGGACAGACAGATTTTCTAGTCTATCCAGCTATTTGTCAGTAATGACTTAGAAAAAGCTCCAACATCACAGATAGGAGACATGTCTGTGTTATGCTGTACTGGTAACACACAAAATGGTCTTTTTCAAAAGACCATTCATGTGACTTTAATGCATTAAGGTGAAAAGAAACATTATTTCCCTAGCAATTCAGGTCAAGGTGTAGCAGTTACACAGCTTTTAACACCAGAAGTCATTGGTCTGTACTTCTGAAGACATGGGTAGCTGCTTCATTATGCAATATAAGCTTCATCATAGAATGGGATTGCAGTGTTGCCCTCTAACAACACTGCTATATTCCTTGCATTCAGGTGTCATACCATATATTATCCACTCAGCTTTATTATGTATTTATGTATTAGCATGACAAAATCCTTGCATACCTTGCAGCAGCATCACATAGAGTAAACAAGCTTCTACTTTGCAGGCTCCCAAAGGTGGGAGGATCTGGCAAAAGCAACTGGTTGGGTAGAAAACACAATCTTACCACTGCAGAAATGGATTTGCTGCATATGCACAAAGGCCCTGACAGAGCTAGAACTGCACTACAGCTCCCTGTAACAGTGAAAGCTTTGTGTTGGGGTATTCCTCTTTAACCTCCCTCATTCTTAGCTTTTTGAGTAGTTTTCTTCTCTCTACCTTTCCTGTTTTGAAAGGATAAACAATATTGCTAATGATTCTCTTTGTTTCCTCAGCTTGTGACATGTTCCCATTACAGAGGGAGTCCACCTAACTGCCACAAATGTGAATTAAATGCATGTATTTAGGGCCAACTAGGCTCCTTTGAAACACACATCTGCCAGTCAGTCCCCATTCTCCTTCACCTGGTGTGCGTCCAGATGTCACTGTTTTACTTAATGTTGATGTTTCGCAGGCACTATACGGCACAACATCAGAAACTGCTGTTTGGCGTCGTTGCGCAAACTATGTCAATGGCAACATGGAGAATGCAGTAGGACGATTATATGTAGAGGAAGCATTTGCTGGAGACAGTAAACACATGGTAAAGCTTTTAGCAAACTTAAGTCTGTGTGCCATCTAAGCGTCACTTGTCACTTTCCATGCAGTTCTTTACGCAGCTTTAGTTACATGTTTTATTAAGGTTTTTATGTAGCAAGTCACTCCTTCATTACTTGTCTTGAGCTGGCCTGCTTTCCAAGCAAATGACCACAGCATGAAATTACACATGAAGTACAACGATTACGTGTTCACACTTCGAGAGGGAAAAGCATCTTCCTGCTCCACTTGTTCTCTGAGCCAGCCGCAGCCTAACGCATCACTGGCATGTTAGCGCTGGACTGTGTACAAGCCAGTACACACACCCAAGGAGCAGCACTTACTGAAATGAACGCTCCCTGCTTGTTCTTTGAGTCTGCTGCTAGTTCACATCCTGGCAACACTGGACCAGGGACAATTGGATATGTCTGTTTATCTTCAGTCACACAGGAAATTGCTGAAAATTAATCTGAAGTTAAGCCTTAGTTGACTCTTTATCACTCCTACTGAAATCCAGGCTTAAGATACACCATTTTTTGTGGTCAACATTTACACAATAATTTGACCAGATGCACAACACCCAGCGGATGGATATCTGTCAGATTTTTTGTAACCTGAATAAATTACACTGCCCTGGGAGCTCGTACCCATTCCCTTCACTCCCATAGGCCAGGCTAAACGTACTACTAAGCTTGAGCTCCAGGTTTTGAGTATGGCCCATAACAGCATACACTCAAGCAGCTAGTGCAGAAGAAAAAGTCTGTAATAAATGAACTAAGACTGTGGGAAAAGAACTGGATCATTATATATGGATTTTTAACATTCTGATGTTTTTTCGAAGGTTGAGGAAATGATTGCAGACATACGTGATGTTTTTATAAAAACCTTAGATGAGCTTACCTGGATGGATGCAGAAACCAAAACCAAAGCAGAACAAAAAGTAAGTTCAATCATAAATATCAGTAATGCTGGCTATCAAACTGAGGTGTGTGTTAAAAAACTTTGTTCAGGACTTCAAATTGTCAGAATTTGGGAACATTTAAATAAATTATTCCATTCCAATGTAGATGTGGGAGCTAGTCTGGATACAGACCCAAAACTGAGACAAACTGTACACATTTGTGGAAATTTGTAAATGTGTCTTCCTATAAAGTACTAATATTATGAAACACCCAGGTATTAATTTTATATCTATTTTAGATGTTGTCAAATATTTCAGGATTTCAGCTGTTTTTAAACCGCCCTTTCAACTCAAAAGTGCAGCTGAAGTATGTTTGGCTGTCCTGTAAACAATTATGTAAGTTCCCTTATAAAGTAAGGAACAAAACATACTTTCTAGAAGTTTCCATTGTTATAATTAACTATAAACTTTACAGTGCTTTCAATGAGTAAAAAAAAAATGTAAACAAAACCTGTGCTTAATTAACATTTTGGGGTTTCTGCAGTTGCTTCCATATTGCATTTATTATATAATTTATGATGATTTAAAAATCTGGCTGGCTTTGCTGTGGATATCAAATTATCTTATCCCTAGGCAAGAGCAATTAGGGAGAGAATTGGTTATCCTGATGAGATCGTGACTGATGACAATAAGCTGAACAGTGAGTATGAGGAGGTAAGTATCCATAATAAGCAATATAATTAGAAAAGGCTCTTAAGAGAAAAAATTGTGAATTTGCCTTCATAGCCCAGCCAAACCACCTGCATCTGCACGGAGTAAGTCAATCCTGTGCTCCATTGCGCAGGTGTAAATAAGGATGTAGTAACAGCCAGTGTAGTACAGCTGATCCAGTGCAGATCGTGGTATTTGACAATATTTCAAGGGAATGAATGAATTCTAGAGGAATGATGCTGGAATAAAACATGGAGCCAATGGTGGTCTGTCCAGTATTTCTAAATCTGCCACGAACTGATGGAACATTGGTTGAAGTGGATGCAAGTACACATAATTTAGGAACTGTGCCTTTTTATCCATGGCTTGGATTAGTCCCTGAAGCACGACATTGGATGACCTGTGTAATTTAAACTGCATGCGAGCTTTTTCACTGCAAAATGTAACCTCAGTGTTCTTTTACCCCATAGGTTCATTTGTAAGAATTCCGTTATGTGTCTAGCATATATGTATCTTTGTGCAGAGCATGTCTTACAAGTCAAAGTTCTAACTTTGAAAACTACAGATGTATAAACAAAGTATGCTTTTTAAAATACTGTTTGAGCCTTATTCATGTGTTCTCTCTAAGGCAGAATTGCAGCTGGCCAAGCTGGCACCTACTGGTTTCAAGCAAGCAGCTCCCAGAGGTTAGGGTCAAATCAGCAAATGCTGAACTCCACTCTGAATACATATATAAAGAGGGAATAAAGATCTCTGGGAAAAATCATGCAGCTGCTAACATATATCTAGCTACAATATCAACTCTGATGTAGCAGAGCACTGCCAACTAAGTTCAAGCTGTAGATCAAAATATACTCTTAAAAACGTTGCTCAGCTCATCATGCTAAAGACTAGATTTTCCAGATCCATGTGTCTTTTATTGCAAATCAGTAACACCACCTCTAAGTACTTTTCTCTTTCTTTTTAGCTGGACTACAAAGAAGAATACTACTTTGAAAACATTATTCAAAATTTAGTATTTACCCAGAAGAAAAGGTTGAAAAAGCTTAGAGAAAAGGTGGACAAAGAAGAGTAAGTATTTAAAAATACTGTGTATAGTCTTTCACCCAGTTTCTATAGGAGGTACCTACAGGGTAATTGGTGATGATGTAACGACCTTCCTTCTGCACTTTTTTCTCCATAAGGAGGGCAGGTGAGAGGGCATTGCTCATTTCTCAAAGGCCAGACCTACATTAGTAAGGAGGGCAAAGAAATAGGGAGATGGTGTAGAAGGTTAAGTATTCTGTAGTAGCTAGTCTTGTCCCTTAGCTCCTGGAGTGGATGAAGTGGACTCCTGGAGAGCAGCTTTTTATAAATTCATCTGAAAGATTAATTTAATCCCTGAGGATTTTGCTCCTCTTGTTCAGAGACTGCATGAGAAAAGAGAAAGCATGATTCAGTGAAGATGAGCAGGAATTTACTTCAGAAATGTATTCCTGCTCTGAATTAAAATATTAATGTGGAATGTAGATGTACAAAAAGACTGAGATGGCACATCTCCTAGCTGTCCTGGCTACTCTTCCTGTTTAAACCATATCAGTAAAATTACTTTGGTTACCATAAGCCATACTAACTCTGCAGGACTGTTCACTTGAATAAATGCTGCAGAGCTGGACTTATGCTGAGGAGAGGCTATCAGAACTAGCTTTGTATAGTCTAAAAAAGGAAAGACTGAGGGAAGGGCTTTTGCTGTCTTCAACTACCTAACGGGAGGAGATATAGAGAAGCCTGACTCTTGGAGCTGCACAGAGATCGGAGGAGTGAGACACAAGGTGGAACACGTGAATTCTGACTATATGTTAGGGAAAGCTTTTTACCCTGTCACAAAAGGCCCACGGAGGCTGTGAGATCTCCATGTCTCCATCCTTGGAGATACTGAAACCTTGAATGGACAAGCCACCTTGTTCTCACAAGTGTGTATTAGTTAGGACTAACTACTTTAAGTTTAATTGCATGCAAAGATTACTTAAAGTGAGCCTAGAAGTATCAACCACAATTGATAATCCTCTGATAGTTACAATTTATTCTGCATATTAATTTTCACTTAATCAAGCAATAGCCACTGTTACAATACTTTGCATAGTGGATGACTGGCATATGCAATAGTTATCAAATAGATAATTTCTCACAGAAATTAATTTCACTCAGAGAGCACATAGTCAGGAAACACAACTTCTGCCATATAAGGCCCAACTATTTTATTGTGTAGAACCATTATCTCACTTTCACCAGCATCTTTTCCAAAATATATTGTGTACACCAGTGAACCACATTAAAACACTAGCCCTGCTTCTGATTCAAGGAATTCCATTGGATGATCACTGATGAGAGCCAGTAAAATTGTAAACTAAGGAAAAAAAAAAGAAAAAAAAAAAATAACAAACAAAAACCTCATTACTTCCCCTGGCTTGAGGTGGACCCAAAAGTAATGCTGAGAGCCTGCATCGAGAAAAGTAGGTATTACTTATATTAAAGCATAGGACTATGAATCAAGCCATGCCTCTCCCACAAGAGCTCACGATGACCTCTGCATCTACCTTCATTCCTCAAGAAACTATGTTAAGGAAAAAATAATAATCGCCTGAGATCTAATACTCCTAATGCACTGGTATTTGAGATAGCTGGATATCTGACAAAGATAGGTGACACAGAAACCCTTTTAAGTAAGCAGCGTTAAAAAAAGTTCAACTACCCCCAGATGTTTATATACCCTTGTAACCTCAGGTTCTGTGTTTTGGTTTCTTTATATGTGAAATTTTGCCTGGGCAATGCTGCAGTGTGAGTAGAAATAGAAACAAAAATTAAGTATGATTGTTAATCGGTTTGGATAACAAAGTGAAAGGGCTACAGAAATGATTAGGGGATTGGAGTGTCTGACATACAGCAAGAGGTCAAGCGCACTGGGGTGTTGGACTTGACAATCCCCAGTTCCAGCCTCAGTTATTCTTTGCTTCTGTTACTCAGCTTCTGGGTTTGTTCCAGTAATCATTAACTCTGCCACTAAGAACTGAAATTCTAACATTTATTCTTCTGTTGTTACTAGGTGGATAAGTGGAGCTGCTGTTGTCAATGCTTTTTATTCAGCAAGTAGAAATCAGATAGGTAAGGCCTACCAACTTACTAACTGGATACAGATTAAATGTATTTGAATTATTTATATATATGTATTCATAAAATCAGGAAGCAAAACAATCTTAATACAGGGGTTGCAGAGCGGCCTCAGTGCAGCAAAATCAGAGGTTTCAGTCATAGTGTTTTCATTTCCTCCTGTTTTGGATTGTTTTTGAGCAGAGCAAGGACAGAGGCTTGAGATTCAGCCATGAAAACAACGGCAGTGTGGAGTAGTGAGATTAACAATCAAGTAAATTTGGTGGGCCCAGTCTTTTCTTTTTAAGGGATGAAGAGGGAGTACGGCACCACTTTTACCTGGCTAACAGAAAAGTCACAGAGCTTCCTGCCATAAAGTACACATGGCTTCCATTCCTTATAGCCTCTTCACAGTTTCTTTGTACGAGCTTCTTCAGTATGGCTTTGGGAATGATGCTGCATTTCATCTGCTGGTTAATAAATACACTAGTTCATTGGCTGAACTGCTCAGAATCCGGTAACATTTCACATGACAGGCCAGAATCACAAAGCCCTGTACTTGAAGCAGTATGCTTTGCTTTCCATAAAGGTAATTTGCAGAGTGTGAGACCAGTCTAAAGCAAATCATATTATCAAGGCAACAAATGTTCTGCTTTTGATGATGAAGTAACAGTATTAGTGCAAAACCCAGCTTATTCTCAGTTTTTATTTCCTCATTTTCAGCACTTTCCCATACGTAACTGTAAGATCTAGTGCTCAGCAGACAGAATCCAGTGATCAGCTTCACATAATCTGTGCTGAGCAAACTTGTCCCATGTGTCATGAGACCAAGAACTCACGAGTCACTGCTCCTGGAGCACATGGTCACTGGTCCAGACCTGCTTCAAGTCCTAGGCAGACAGAGAGCCTACATGGCTCTGTCACCACCTTCTTTATGTAGAAATAATAATGACAATTGGAACAAATATTTGGGCTCAATGAAACCAGCATTCCCCAAAAGTCAGAATTTATTCACCACTTCAAGATCTAATTATGAGCCACAGCATATCAGAGCTTCATACTAGTATTACTTTAAGTATTCCCATTTAAATTGCAAGCCTTAACTGTTAGCTATCATAAATGCAAAGTCCTGACATACACTCTTATAAGAAATATGGCTTGAGAAAAGTTTAAGGAATTTTGAGGCATCCTTAATTGCTGTTCTTAATATTTAAAGTCTTCCAGATGACTTCAAGTTCACTGCTGATGTGGCATTTAATTCTGCTTCTTTTGTGCTGGAAAAATGAAAACGGAAACCTGGTAGATTAAACCAAGGAAAAAAATAAGAGAAAAGTTCAGTACAGTGAAATAGGTTTTGTAATACGTTTGAGTAGAAACATTTGTAATGTCAGCCTACCCAAAACTATCTATGGTTAAAAATAAGATAGAAGGCATTAAAATGCTTTTAATGACACTAAAAAAAAAATAAATAAATCCATTTCAGCTAAAGATTAGAACCACATGGAAGCACTGAGGTTTGTCATCTTGTGAACCATACCAGCTCTCTTCACAGTGCTGCAAGAGCCACAGAGTTTTCAACATTAATTATGCCTCACAATATTTCTGTCAGACCTGTTCTGCAAGTATTGTTATTTTTCACATTTCATACATTGCAGTGTCCTCTCTAAGCCATTAGTGAGGTACTATAATCCACACATTAACTCCTGAAAATAATTCTCTAAAAAATGGAGAACCTCGCACAACAAAACACAAAACCACACAACAAAAAACCGCAAACAAAAACCCCAAAAAACCAACCAAACAAAAAAAACCCAAAACAAAAACAAACAAAACAAAAAAAAAAAACTCAAAAAACCAAAACAAACAAACAAACAAAACCAACAAAAAAAGGAAGGAAAAAAAACCCAAAACCCCAAAACACCCTTGTCCTGCTGGGCTCTACACAGAAATGAAACTATTATTTCTTGTTTATTTATGGACTCCAAAGAAAATATTTGGAGGAGACATTATTTTCATTCCTGGGGATGAAATTACCACTTCTTTTCAGACTTCATTAATGGCTTCTGATATAATTCCACTTCTTTTATCAAACAAACCATTAAAGCAAGGTGAAAAATGTCAGCTACTATCTTCCCTGGGCTCTTTTAACACTAGTGTCAAAATAATGTCACTGATCTGCACGACTGCCACTACCAGACAGACTCCAGTAGCAGCAGTGGTGATCCGAAGCTTTACTTTGGGACCAAGTATCTTATTACATGGCAAAAAAAGCATTCCCTGTTGTTCAGTCTGCAAGTACCGCTACACTAAGTCAAGTGGATGCAGTCTTCTTCCAGCTTTTGCAGGGTATGTTTAAAACAGCATACTAACAACTTCACAATTGGTGTTCTCTGTGCAAAAAGACAGAAGTTCATTTAGCACCTCTGATTACATAAGTCTTGATCTGCAAGTGCAGGTTTAAGGAAAAAGCATCAGGTTTATAATGGAAGAAATCAACAAACTAAGCCAAGCTTTCCAAAAGGATTTTTCCTTTTTAATTATTTTTGACCCCACTGAAGAATTGAAGAGGCTTAAAAAAAAAAAAAAAAAAAAAAAAAAAAAAGTCCTGCAGTCCTAGATTTTCTGATTTTACTGAGTCAGGTGATTCGTTAAGCAGATTTCTGTAAATATGATCCTGCCTTCTACTAGTCACCTGTGTCTTTGCAATAGCTTGCACTTTCAGAATGACAGAGAGCACTGCTCTGGGCACAGTGAGACTGCATCAATGTCAGCCTCATCATCACACAGGCAAGAATGAGAATGAGGAGGCATGGAGAAAACTCCTTGCATTGGTGCAGTTATGAGCAGAACAAAAGAATGAAGTCCACTACAGATGGTGCTGTTAGCACAGGAATTCAGCCTACAACACTCACCTATTTTTAGGTTTTATGTCATAGTCAAACCTTTGATGATAACTTGCCAAGGTCCATGAAATTTTCTAGTTAACCCAAGCTGCTCTGGCTTTGCAGTGGGCTCTAAAGGTAAAACATGAAATAAGCATTGTGAAATCCAAGACAGACTTCACGGAGACAAAACCATGTTGACTTAACTAACCAGCACTGCTTGGTTAAGGACAGCAAGATGGCGCAGTTTGACAGGAGGTAAAGTTAAGTGAGCAGTTAGCTCAGAACTGAACATATAGCTCAAAAATCTGCTCAGAAGGTTTTGTTTAAAACAGCTTCATTCAGTGATTCGTAGGAAAGGAATCATGATTTGGGAGACTGAAACTAGTGACTGGTGGTTAGTATGAGCCATAAATTCTTACTTCATCCTTTAACTATGGCATGCCACAGGATAATTAAATCAGTGTGACCTTAAGTGATGTCTGAATTAGTTTAGTATTATGCTTTTAAAGAAAAAAAAAAAATCCCTCTAAAGAGGAGTTCTGTGCATGATGCACAGGAAATTTAGAGCTCTATTATTACACTTTAATGTGGTCTCATCTTCGCTGTTCCATCAGCAGCATTGATCACCAGGAAGCCACTCAACCTGAGAAATATCAGCCAAACTGCTGCTACTAAGGTGGCCCAGTATGTGTTCCTTCAGGTGCCAGCTACCTGACCCACAGGCAGGTATGCAAACCTGAACTGCCCTGTGCTTCCAGCTGTTGCGGGATACTGTGCGAGACAGTCAGCTGGTAAAGGCATTACTGTTCTCAAATACATACAGGAAGAAGAGCAGCATGGCTTTTTTTTTGTCCATGGCTGCACAGATTAAGGGAAATACCACGTCTTTTCCTGCCTTGGATATTCACAAAGCTGAGAAGTACCATCTGCCCTTTAGATCTCAAAGGAACTGCACTTCTTTAAATCTCTGCATGAAATGTATCCTACTGTGGGAGGAATGCCTATCCACTACAGACCTGTATTGTGTAACAGAAGTCATGGAATATATTGTTTTCAGAAGGGTGGAGTTAAAAATAAATAACATCTATGAATTCTGATATTTTACTCTAAAAATAGATGAGGTGACAGAGTATTAATTAAATGGAACTGAAAGTCCCAGGAAACTGTCTGCCTCCAGGGAAGGAAGATGGTCCCCTGGTTTCAAGCAAAAGACAGACTGACCTCCAAGTGAGTTACAGTTGCAATATTCCAGGCCACCAGGACCATCGCGAGCACTCTGAGTAAACACTTTGCTAGCAGTAATCTCCAAGAACAGCATTCTGATGCTGGGCACTCCAGGTATTGCTCCGTTTTGCCAGTCAGCAAAACAGCCCACCACACAGTACAACATTTACACTCTTGTCTTTACTGTCAGTACTTCCTGATAACAACATCCAGAGATTTGATATTTAATTCCATGTTGAGCTATTGATGTAACAGAGTTACTGTGACCATAGGCAGTAATTTGCACAGGACAGCAGAAACACCTTCTTTTTCCTAACCTGTTTATTATTTTAGAATTTCCCATGCTTCTTTCTCCTCTTGAAAGAAAGTACTAGAACTCTAATGGATTTATGCTGAAATGCAGGAAGTATCTGTTTTCTTTCTTTTTGTGTGTGAAAACTCATCCAATTACTTGTTTTTGTTCAAGTTTTGTAGAGATAGATATATCTCATTCAGTGAGAATACTTTATATTGTTCCAACAGGCTGAAGAGGCCTGCATGAGAAACAAAGTGTAACTGAGTAATTTATATAATTCTCCTTTTATAAAAAAAACACAATTGCAAGATGATTTCATTACTAATTTGTTTCTTAAAAGTGTAGAAAAATGAGCACAGAAGTGGGTGAAAAGAACCGCTTTGTTCCAGTTCTTTCATTGCTAACTTCGCCTATTTTTATTGATTGTAGTGGGAGTTACTGATATTTCCAGTGGAAGAATAAAGTCCTCTCTCTGAGGTTGATTTATATGCGGACAATTATCAAGTAATTTATTCTTCTAGGGGAACACTCTCCCGCTTTTCATGATGTTGTTAAATTTATTTATTAATGATGCAGGACTCTGAGATGGTAAGTGCTGTAAATTGGAAAAGTAAACTGCTTTTTTGCAAAATAAAACAGTTAAAGACAAAGTAAAAGCAGATCATGATTTTGCAAGTGTCTGAAGAGAGGAGTGGTCCTGCTGAGCTGTGCCTGCTACCCCACAGCCATTACCCTGTGTCAGCTCACTTACTGCTGCTGGTAAATCTCAGGGAAGAACATGACCTTGGTTGAAGCCCATAAAACCGGTCAGTTTACACCTCACACACAGGATAATGAGGCAGGGCCTTAACTGTGTTGTGGGTTCTTTTGCAGTCTTCCCAGCTGGCATTTTGCAACCCCCTTTCTTCAGTGCATCCCAGCCCAGATCTCTGAATTATGGTGGCATAGGCATGGTCATCGGTCATGAAATCACACATGGTTTTGATGACAATGGTAAGACACCAAGTTTTTAATTACAAAACTTACAATGTTTGACATGCATTAGTGGTTAATCATTCCAGAGATAGATAAAGTTAAGATGAACTTTCCATATATAAGACCAAATCTGGATTTCTGAGGCTTTACAGTATTGTTCCCCATGATGATTCCCCAAAAGCACAATTCAAGGAATCCTGCAAACACTCCTATAGCTGCTGGGCTTCAGCAACAGCCCAGGATGTGGGCCCGTGGCACACAAGGGCTTTTAATATAGTTGCTGGTCTCTTGCTTTTCCCAAAAGCTACATCAAAAACCATCACAAACCATAAATAATTGTGGACAGGGTGCATCACTATGCTGGTACAGGCATGAACTGAAGGGTCTAGCCATAAGACCTGCTACCCAGCCACATTGTTCATTTCTAGACCTGCACAATGGTCAATCCAGCATTGAACAACAGGTCAGAACTGTACCAGGCTTCCTAAGAGAGCCTTAATGTCATCTGCTGATTCCATCCGAATTTGTTTGGTTTTTCTCCTCTACTGAAATATATCCCTCTTAACAAAGAAAAATCCCAACCAACCAACCAAAAACCACCCAAAAAAACCCCTACCATCTGTTTACTTGCTACCCTTCTTATTGGATCAAAGCCCTCTTTTCCTGTATACATAATTCTGTTAACATACTATTACAGGCAGAAATTTTAATGAGAATGGAGACCTTGTAGACTGGTGGACTGAAGAATCGGCAAGCAATTTTAAGGAGCTATCCCAGTGTATGGTGTACCAGTATGGAAACTTCTCATGGGACCTAGCAGGTGGACAGAATGTATGTCATATTTGTAAACTACCAAAGTTATTTTTAATAAGGAAGCATGAAATCTTATGTCCTAAACATGCAAACTCTTATTTACATGAATGCTGTCTTAGCTTATGGCTAATACTGTCGCCCCTACATTAAAAGAAAAAAAAAGGAGAGAAAGGAAAAGAAAAAAAGACACCAAACAAATAAAAAAAGAAAAAAAAAAGGGGGAGGGGAGAGCAAAACAGATCGTTAAAATTAAAGGTAGTGGTAAAAATGCAACACATACCCTGGCTGTTTTGAAAGAGGCAGGACTCAAGTTATGAACGAGTAGCATTCGTAGAAGCATTTGCCTAGAAGCCTTTCTGAGCCCTCAAATGCTCTTACGCTCTTTCTTAATTCCACAAAGGAACAGGGGAGGGGGGAAAAGTTTGAACCAGATTTCCACAAAGCTTGATGCACAAATAATATATATCCTCAACAAAACAAATCCTGCTTGCTGCTTTCCTTCACTCAGTTTCCTAATCTTTCCCCCAGAGAAAAATCTGTACTACAGAGCTAAAAGGTCTGAGAAAAGTCAGGGTATGGTAGGAGAGGAAGAGGTGGTCTGCAGGTTTAGGAGAGGCAGACAGTCTAAATGTGACTGCATTCATAGCACTCTGCACAGTTAACATCAGTAGGCATTCAGTGTATGCCCAGAAGAAATTTCATGAGAACAGTTAGCAGGATCAGTCTGTTCTGTGTCCCAACAAGATGAATATTCCTTTAACTCACTGAAGCAGATGATGATGATACACTGAACAGAAGACTGGTCCTTTCCTAGGAAATGCAAGCTGCAAAACTGCTGCTGGAAGGAGACAGCCCTGCGTACGTTACCACAGCACTTCACAGCATGTCATTTCAGGGGTGACCAAATGCTCTGCTAATGCACCCGCTTTGTCTCTTTCATCATCTACAGACAATTTAATCATCTTCACAGTACTCCCACCCTGCTCCCATAGTGATTTTACTGCCCCAGGCTTCGAGTACACCAACTTCAGAGCTACTCAGAGCAGATTTGTACCACTATTACTAGCTGAGCTGCCGCCACTGGCAGCCGAGGTACATCCTGCACCAGTTCAGTACTTAGTTCACAGCTCTACATCTTCCGCACCGCAAGTGACATGACAAGTGAGTGTCAGCCCCTGGATCACTGCTGCTCAGTAAAGGAAGTAAAACAGCTTATGACAGGAGCCCTCAGTTGTGTTGCACTGTGGAAGACTACTTACTACTTTTAACATCCACCTTGTTTATTTTGGACATCAGTGGATAACACCACATGAAGCACTCAACTGTGCTACCAGCTGTTCTTCTGTAAGGAACAGAATTTCTCTTGGATGGGACCTCCTACAGTTAAGTGGTAAAAGAGAAGACACAAGAAGCTATTTCTCTGACTGCTGCTGTCTGGGCTTTTAGAGGCTGACAATATATTCTGTCATACAGAGTAAAGATAAAACTTCCAGCCCTGAGGTTTTCCTGATCTGTGTCTTAAACTGTTGAGACTCAAAGAAGCCAGTAAAACTAGAAAAGAATACATGAACATACTTTTCTGCCATTTTTTCCACACATTGAGTTCAATTTAATGACAATTCAGGTTTTTCAGCTTTGAATATCATAGCCCAGTATCTTGGGCTAAAGGTTAAAAATATAGCTTTTTAAAAAATTTAAACTGCAGATTCTCCATTACCAAAGCATCACCATCTTTAGTGATACTTCACCGACACTTTCCTGACTTAAGAATACTATACGAGCTAAATAGATACCTTCTATGTATCTTGCTACCTAACTTGCCTAATACACAGAAAAATACTTCCTAGCACATTTGCTGACAGCTGCTAACTGATCATTTCAGCTATTTGGAATTTGGATTTTAATATGTAGACTATACAGACAGATTCTGTCCACTTCCTCTAATTGCAACTGTAGTAAGAAACTAAGAGTTAAAGATATGATAAAAATAGGAAGAAGGAATGAACAATGACTAAGCATCAGAAAATCTGGGTAAAAGGGATATGAGAGCCTTGAAAGTTGCCTGTAGGGGAAGGAGAAGGATAAGGGGGAACAATAGTATCCACACAGATTTTGAGACGAGGCAAAGACTCTTCAGAGATGTTCACGTAATTCTCTGCTAAACTTTGAATTTTATGTGACTTCTTGCCTTTAAAAAGTGGGGAAAAAAACCTAAAAAACCCAAAACCAAAACAAAACCCAAAAAAAACCCAAACCCAACCCATAAAGTTTGGATTACAGGTCCTGGATAAGCTCTTCTTTTCAGACATCTGTACTTTTTCTTTCTGTTTTACAGCTGAGTGGAATCAACACACTAGGAGAAAACATTGCTGATAACGGCGGTATTAGACAAGCATATAAGGTAAGAAGTATCCCTTTTTCCTAATTTTAGCTTAAACCATCACAAGTTAAGAAAATTAACTGCAGAGCCTTTGAAGAAGAAACATTATTTTTGTGTTAGGGACAGGACCATACCTACTGCGTCATCGAGGCATAGTTTAAAACTACCGACCAGTTATCGTGTTTCTTTCCTCCTGTTAATTTTTTCAGGATATATGCTACCTGTTCCTAGTGCTCTCTTTTTCAGCTGACTTCTATTTTTTCCTTTTGTGAATAACAAATATGTAGCATGAAAACATTTAATGAATCACACTTGGACCATCACCTAACTACTCTGATGATACTGAGCAGCTGTCTTCCTCTGGGTATCTGTCTTCAGTAGCTTTTTTATGCCACAAAGGAGAGAGAGAATTACTTTCTCCTGATCCATGAACAGTCTCTGCCTACATGAAACACTATTCACTGTTCAAAAACTGTTCAAAATATCATCCTGTACAAGTGACTTTGGTCCCCTGTACAGGTATACAAAGATATCAGTGACATCTGGAGTCCTTATGCTAAGCTTTCTGTGGGAGCTCGTAGGCTTTTGGGCTTTCCTTTCATTCTCCTCCTGAAATACTCAGCTTCTTAGAGTGGCCAGCTTCAAGACTGAAAGCAAAAGCAGCAGAGGTCTTTTGTTTGTGACTGTGGGTTGGGAGGCAAGAAGCAAGTCAGCTTCTCCATGAACTTTTCCTATTACCTGCAAACCTGGTGGTTGCAGGCTTTAACAACATGATCCTCCCTCTCCTTCCCTGAGCACCTTGTTCTAAGGCAAAAATATTCAACACTTGACAACCAGAGTGCTGTCATTCCTCAACAAAGTGCCTGCTAGGATGCACCGGCAAACTCACACTTCCCAAAGTTATCATCACAGCTTCTGCAAACAATGCCATCAGCAACACTTAATTTACTAGAAATATACACATTTTGAGGGCAAATACAATTATTAGTAAGAGTTTGAAGAATAATCTGGAAGCCTAAAAGAGGTGTCAGTAGGGCATATTAGATTAGTCTAATCTTCAATTACTGGAACGCTTAGGCATTTAAAAAATGCCAAACAGTACAAACCCACAAAAGGGGACACTTTTTGACAGGAATGAGAGTAGCCAGAGAAAAACTAGGTCAGAAGTATTAAAAAAAAAAAAAAGAATTAGGTATTCATAATTATTATTACATCATACAAATATTAAAAAAAAGTCCAAAAGGAATCCTGAGAGGCCACCTAGTCATCCCACCCCCACCTCCTCGCAGGTAGAATCAACCATTTCTGTATCATTCAAACATACCGTATGAGCAGTTCCGCTACCTCCTCTTCCTCAAGTGCCATCATGTCTTTCAACAGTGGAAACAGAGCAATCTGCTCCTTTCTTTTCTGCGACAAGTTTCATATTTGAAGACTGCTACATACTTGAAAACCCAGACTTTTCTTCTTCAGACTAAACAAACCCAATTCCTTCAATCTTTCCTCAAAGGTCATGTTTGCTAGACCTCTGCTCATTCTTGCTGCTTTCTTCTGGCCTCTCTCCAGTTGGTCCACATCTTTCTTAAAAGTGCAGTGCCCAAAACTGGACAGAGGGCTCCAGCTGAGATCTGGCCAGGGCCAAACAGCATAGAAGGATTACTTCATAAGGCACTCCTGTTTATACATCCCACTTGCCTTTTTTGTGATACTGTGGCTCTGCTGGCTCTTGTTCAGCATGTTATCCACTCAAACTTCTGAGCCTTTTCAGTAGACCTGTTAACCACTTGTTCCTCAACTTGCACTTGTGCAGTTGATTGGCTTACCTCGTGTGGTAGGTTAGCACTGATTTTAGTCATAACATTTCTCCAGTTTGCTAGCATCTTTCTATCAGTAATGATATACTAACAACACATTGTTTCGCACATGGGCTACATAAGAAACATGAAAGCAATTGTTCTTACTAAGGAAAGCTTTTAAAGTCTTCTGCAATTTGCTTAAAAACAAAACAAAAAAATCACACTGGAAAACAAAAAATCTACCAAAAAAACCCAAGCCATTAGATATTGATAAGATTCATGTCTTCTCCCTGCAGAATCAGTTTTGTGCCAGTAATATTGAATCCTAGAACTCCACACTGCGTACAGGGAAAGCAAATCTTACCATAAGTGTGGTATTTTAGACTCTAACCCAATAGGTGGGGGGCGGGGAGGGGGAAACAAAAAAAAAAAAAAAAAATTTATGTGATAAACATTTGGAAGAAAACTGAACTGTAAACAGGCAGCAAATACAGGTGCTCTGTAGAATCAGAGAAAAGAATAATTGTTTGCCACAGCTGCAACTTTTTACTCCACATCTCTCCAGTCTAATGGAAAGAAGAAGGGGAAGAGAGAAAGATGAACAAGTAGGGGAGAAAAGAATCCCACCTTGATTGTCTTGGAGATCATTTGTGCCTCCCTGAGCAGAGGCAGGCTGGGCTGCCCAGCCGAGTCACTCAGCCAGGGATACACACACAAGGGAATCCCAAAATCATGTGAGATGCCACAGGTAGGCTCATTTTGGGACTGTGCCTTAGGAAGCAGCACAGTAGCATGCATTTCCATGTGAAGGTACATACAGAGGGTAAGTGGTGGCAATGCCTGACCCACAGAACCCACAGGAGACAAAGCTGCTGCTGATGAATCTTTACAGTGGCAGTTCAGAACCTCAGAAGTTGGGAGGCAGGTTTAGTACAGAGCTTGCCACCCACCCCTCAGCAGATATCAGAGAATCACAGTCATTTCTGTTACAGAATATATGCTACTTTTTAAAGACAGAACCACCTTGCTTTATGCAGTCATTCATTAACTCTGTGAAGGGATTTGCCACATAAATATAGAATCAGAGAATCATAGAATAGTTAGGGTTGGAAAGGACCTTAAGATCATCTAGTTCCAACCCCCCTGCCATGAGCAGGGACACCACACACTAAACTATGTCGCCCAAGGCTCTGTCCAGCCTGGGCTTGAACACCTCCAGGGTTGGAATAGTCCAGTGGAATTTAATACATTAATTTTTATAAAGCTCACTGAAAAGTAGCATGAACTTTCAGTAGCTACTGTATTTCAGAACACAACTGTCTTCCTTTGCATTCTTAATTTCTTCCCCTGTAAAAAGATGGGTAATTATGCAAAAATCTTGTTATTCCAAGTATGCCTGGAATACCCAGATTTCAGTACATCTTACTGAAATTATTCCATTAGCCTTGGCTTCTTTTTGCTACAATAAATTGCCGCCTTTAGGCCTGTTTCTCTCTATATATAATATATAATTCTCTGTATAATTCAGGCAGCTTTACTAAACCTGCTGTAGAACAGTACTGTAAGGCATATCCAATGGCAAAGCTTCCTTGATTCAGTCAGGCTGCTGTTATCACAGTACTAAGAAATGTCCCTGTCATCTACTGCTTAAAGGTGGAACGTGATGACATGGATGGCCAAGGTATTCCATGATGGATTATGTCAAAGAATGTTCCTCCTTGTCATCATTTCATTTTGCTTGTCTGTGCTGGAAGTTACAACATTTCTACTCAATTCATTCTACAGGCCTATGAAAACTTTGTGAAAAAGCACGGAAAAGAAAAGCTTCTACCTGGTCTTGAAATGAACCATAAACAGCTGTTTTTCCTGAACTTTGCACAGGTATTCTATACTTCTCGACTGAAGGCTTTGAAAATCACTTGAAGTTACAGTTTAACAGTAAGTCGGAAAGAGTAGGCTGACCACAGTTTTACTAAGAGCTGGCAGAGTTGCTAAGCTGGGCAATGTTCACTACAAAGTAGTGAAAATAAGATATTGTTAGGTAATTTTTGTTATCCCTAAATAAAGTAGTTCAGCCACAAAATGAGAGCAGGTCCCTTCCTGGACAATCTTATGGCTAACAAATGCTTTTCTTTGTTATGTGTTTAGGTATGGTGTGGAACATACAGACCAGAATATGCTGTGAATTCCATCAAAACTGATGTGCACAGCCCAGGCAAATTCAGGTCAGCATGTATAATAACTTTCACTGCACTTCCTAGGTGCAACACAACTTTTAGCTATAGAATTCAAATAACTTTACACAAAAAGCTAGGTTGCACTTACCAGGGTAGATTTAGGCATGCACACATATACAGACACTGGAGATGGTTAAGAGAAAGACAGACAGATTGTGCCATCTGATGGATGAACTTCCATCCTCCAATAAAGTCACAGGAAAAGTCTCAAGTTATCTGTGGAGTGCAAGGATTTTGCTCTTCCAAGCATGGAAAAAAAAATTTTAAACAGCAGTACTAACATGAGAGAAAATGACCTTTGCCATCTAGAGGTAGAAGGACATTCTTCTGCACCAACAGAGTGGACAGCATTTCTCAGAATACCTGCTGCAGCCCAGGCCTGGGGCTCCGCTGTGTTGCAGGTGTTATACAAGGTCACTATTTGCTCTATCTTGCAAGAGGAACAGAAATGAGGTTTAGGTGGAAGGTCACTGCCCCTCAATCAGTCACAAGCCTGATGCTGTGATGCAATAAGCAGATTTGTATTTTCTGCCTTGTGTACTCACCCAGCTTTCCTGAGGAGAGGTGGGCTTAAGTTCAGTAGAGTCATGCAGGGAACTTGGCTGATCAGGGTGGAAGTCTTTGGGCCAGACTACGGCCTTTGCTTTTTAACTGAAGTCAGAGCAACCTAGTCATCAGTAGTGTAACTAAAAGAAAAGAGAGGGTTTGCTCTAGTAAATTGGTTTGGTCACATGGAATCAAGTGATAATGTAGCCATCACAGCATGCTTTGGAAGGCTGCATCATCTCCAGGACGCCTGTATACAATAGCCAATTTCTCTCCTGGTACCAGTCAGTACATTAATTCCTGTATCTTTCTTTCAAAGGCTTTTCAGAATTATTTTGTTTATCCCACATACTCAAATATTTACTGAAAGCAGTGACTGTTCCTTCAATTGCTACTTGACTAGTGTTTCACTGTGGGTGTTTTTTGTACTGTATCCAGATCCCTCTCAGAGGCAGTTTATGCCTCAAGTCCCATCCTCAGCACCCTGGGTTGTAATGCTGATGAGGCTCTATAGAAGTTCCTCAGAACCATGCCTCCTCTTTGTGCTTCTCATTTGTACAAGTCACAAGCCCTTTGAAGTTCACTAGTTCAGCATCTTTATGTAACAGTATTTGTGTGTATCTTGGATATATTACATCATGTGTTGTTTTTACATCAGTATGAAAGGCTATAAAGTTCATATGGAATTCCACGAGTATTAATGAGAAACCATATCAACATTTTTAGAACGTGAAGTAATTTTCAGGTGAGGCCTCCTTAAGAGCTCTAAAATAGGAAGCATTTCAGTATGAGACATACACACAAAATTACTGTCTGATGACATACAATTTAAATGACACAATAGCTCCCAATGTGCCTTTTTTATTATTTGGAGGGTTGGAATGGGTTTTTTGTCATTTAACACCTGCTACACTGACTGCAGGCTATTTCTCCTTACACACAGGACAGGCAGCTCTTCATAAACATGGTTAATTACACAGTACAAACTTAGTTCATGGGCTAACAACTCTAAATACTGGACAGGTAGAATCTCTTGTCCACTGGATAAATAAGAAGTTAACAGAAAGATGCCTTATATTGAGTAATCGTCAAAGACAGGTGAAAGAGAATCTGTATATGAATATTAACACGCAAAATTAAAACAGAGCAAGTACAATAACAGATACAGGTCAAGCCCCTCCTGTGTACCAAATCCCAGTAGGTCTGGGGCTATTAGGAAACGAAGCAGGATTCTTATCCCACCACTGGTTTATCCGTTTGTTATTAACAACTCTAAGTAGAGTTTTATTAAACCCAAAATACTTTTTGCTTTTTCTGGCAAAATCCCATTTTAGCAGTTCTGGTCCTTAAGAGCAATGAAGCGTTGCAATGTCACTGAAATGCATGACTGTATGTGCATGCTGTATTTCCATTTCTGAAGAAACGAGCAACTCTTAGCGGATACATCGACGTATGCTCACAATTACACATTTTAAAACTGCTTTAACTAGAATGTCCTCATATTCACTTGAAAGCTGTTCTTTGTATGAGTCTTTTTTCCAGGAAACTCATTCACTGGAGCAATTGTGAAGAATGCTCAGAAAAGCAATGTGATCTTGGTTAAAACTTAATTGGTGTAAAAATGTAAATGAACATTTACTGAGAAGTTACACTGCAGTCCTCTACCTCAGGGGTCTTGCTTTCCCTTTACTAAGCAACTTGTCACCAAAACATATGTGAAAAAATTCTCAGTGTAAACCAACAACGAGCAATTAACCTGTTCCAAGTGAAATAAAGAGAATTTCTGTGAGAGCAAGTAATGAAGAAAGGACAGGTTCTGTTCTTTGGGGGGATTCATGAGGGACCATACAAACTGCAAAGAGAAAATACAGGCACTGCTTGAGGTGAAATGGAAGCAATAGTCAGAGTTTAGAAATGCAGGCATTTCACACAGTATTTTGAGGTCACACACACAAAAAAAAAAAAAAAAAAAAAAAAAAAGAAAAAGAAAAAGAAGTTACCAAATGTGGCTTGTCTTGTTTGTTTTAAACAAAGACAAGCAACAATTACAAGGTGATGTTGTTTTGTTTTAAAGGGTCATAGGATCATTGCAGAACTCTCCAGAGTTTTCTGAAGCCTTTTCATGCACCAACAGAAACTACATGGATCCTGCTAAAAAGTGCCGTGTTTGGTGACAGAAGTGTAAACCTTTCATCTTGAGAAGCTTTACAGAAATTTTGAACTTATTTTGAGAAGTTGAAGAAAACTGAGAAGAATATGCTAAAGTACTCACTGTAATTCTTAGTAAACAGGCAAACCAACAAAATCACACCCCAAAACATCAAATAAAGGACTAATGCCGATGCAGTAATTAGCTGCTCTAGCTGACTGGCTGCTTTTCGTAACAGTGAACCATGTAGAATCTAAGTCACTGGACAGCGTACAGTACCATTCACTTGTAGTTAAACCTGGTCCCCACTGACCAATGGCTTTTTAGATTTATTTTAACATGTCAAAGTGTAACAAGTTACCTCCCAAAGGTGGGTGAATGGGTGTTTCTGATCAAGCGGAGGAAGGAAATACTATGTAACAGTTTTAGACATCAAAACATGATAATGAAATAACAGTTTATATCCTAAGTGTCAGACTTTGTACCCCGTGCTGTTATACCTATTCTACCAAATGTTACCATTTTTTACTTGAAATCATTCATACAAGAGGAGTCCAAAGATCTGCTGTACTTACATTAAGTAACTCACTACTTATTTCAGTGTGTACTACCTGAAGTCACTATTTACAACAGATTATTTACTGCTTTCCAGCCAAACTGCAGGTAATTGTAGGTAACTGTAGGTAATTTATTAATTATTGAACATATAATCTGTAAGATTGTGATCAAAGACCCTTTCACAGTTTTCTAAGCTTTTTCTTGCTTTCTCTGACGTTGGTCTTTTTTAAAGTTTCTAGTAATGTATAAATCATAGTTTTTATATTTAAATCTGAGCTACACTTTTGACATGAAGCATTGTGATATATTTTATCAGTGGCTGCATAGAACTGGGAAATTTGAGTAAAGCATGGTATCAGGCAATAAGGTAAGTCTATAAAACTGAGTTCTCCAATGGAGTATGTCAATATTCAAGTGTTCAGGCTGACTTTCTCAGTGTTTAGGGTCTGATCCTGCACATAATTTGTACATGTTCTGAATGATGTCAGTCCTCACATCAGTGCAGCTGCACAGCTGACTGCAAGAATCAAAAGGAGCTTTAAGTAAGAAGGCAAAATGCTTTAAATCTGCAGTGATATGTATTAAACATCCTCATGCAGATTGCAAAGGAACTTACTGCTTTGTATATCAAAGCAAACAGATTTCCAAAAATAAGTACCAGATACCTCAGATGACTGCTACAATAGGTGTATTTAAAACCCTATGTTCCTTATAGCTTTCCGAGTTTGTCATCTGATCAAAACATTTTGATAATAAACTGAAATTATGAGCCAAATGCAATGTGTGTTCTTTATAGGAAATAAAAAAGTAGAAATAAATTCCCCTCTGCAAATAGATTTCTGTACTCACCCTGAGCACCACACCTCAGCATCTGTAACAAGCAACACAAGGAGAATTTACATCATTTTGTTCTAGTTTACAAGCAGGTGCCAATAGGTCATTTAGTACCTATAGAAATCACAGCAAACTTGACTGCAGAAGGCTTTCTATTCCAGGACTTTCTCCCCACAGTATGATCAAGTCACTCCTAACCACAAAAGGGAGGCAGAGTGAAAAACAGCAGAAATTAGAGAAAAGCAGTAGAAGAAAAAAAAAAAAAAGTTGCATTAACAGGGTTTCCCCTCTCTGCAGGGCCCCTTTCTTCACTCCTATCCATTTGTCAGAGTGCTTTTTATACTCCATCTCGAACATCACACATCCAAATGAAACTCAACCGTTTACAAATTAAGGACCATAAAACTATGAAACTGGAAGTACCATTATCCCTGTCATACAGCTAGACATGTAACACCCATCAAGGATACAAAAGAAATTCAAAGGGTAACTAAATAAACCAGTGGATCACTAAATACATAGAATATAGTATTAAATGTAACAATTGATAAATCCAGATTCACTAATGACAAGTGAATAGAATAGCAAATACAATATATTCCTTAGGAATCCATGAGTAAAGTAAATACAGGTGGCTCAGTTCTGCTGTCTGTTCAATAGTGCACCAGCACACTTCAGATACACCTTGCATTTCATTTGCCTGCCCAACAGACAAAAAAAAAAACCCAGAAGAGCATATTGGTAGTTGGAGATACAGATCCCTCCCAGCAGGCATACTACATAGTGAAGGGTTTTTCATTTCTCAGTGACCTACACACACGGAACAGTAGTTGCATCTTGACTCACATTAGCTCCTGATAGAGCAGGGACAGTGAATCCATATACACCTCCAAGGATATGTTCACTTCTTTTATCACCATAGTATAAAGCAAGCTATCCTTGTCGAAGGTATCTAGCAAAGCCCTGGCCAGACCAGAAACAGATACTCTTTAAGGAAAGAAAATGCACACATTTGGCAGCTGGCCTTGGACATGTCATCATACCCAGCTTTTACATTCATGAATTACAAGACTCTTCCCCAAACCCCCATTTCATCACTGCTCTCCCCTCCTCCCCACCCATCTGTTTTACTACAGACTATCCATCTGTAACAATGAGCTAGATCTGGTTAAGTAGTGTCCAAAATACAAACCAAACATAATGCATATGACCAAAAGGAACAACAGAGTTCCCCCAGTCATTGTTGGCTACACCAAGGGCCAGAAATAGCCCCTTTTATTACCTGAAGTCATGATGAAATCAAGTGAATGGACATCTGGAAAATAACTGTGTGATCTGATAAAGTGAGTGAGAAAAGTTTGAGGAGAAAGCACCTGGTCAGTGTAGGAACCCAAATGGTCAAACTGTAAAAGTCATGTTTACATATGCCCATGCATCTATATAATTTCCAAAACCATCCCCTGAGAGACCCTCTTCCTTCCCCCAACTCCACAGGCTGCACCAACCTCAGGCTTGTACCTGTAGGTACAAACAAGGCTGCTCATTTCCTTACTCCCCCTCCAGAGGAGGTGGGAAAATGAACAAAGGATTTGCTTTACTCCTGCCTACAGCAGCTGAATCAGAACTGTATGGGTAGCTGTCACTGCTGAAAGAAACCCTGGTAGGAAATAACTACAATCCAGAACCAAGAAAAAACAGAGTAATCATCTGCAGTACAGATCTGAATCTCAATGTCTCCTGACCCTAGTCCTAGGGGTAGGCACATCTTACACCACCTCTTGACAATTTGGTCTTCTCCAAAAGTCACTTGGCACATCAGCTCCCTGCACGAAAGCCTTGTATTAACATTTAACAGAAGACTAACACATAAAACACGTGCCTTGGCAATCGAAAATTTCCCCACTCATGCAAAAGTGGAATTTACATTTTCATAAAACAAATATAGCACTAATCATTCAGATGTGACAGTCAGAACACACCTTTCATCACAGCCTGCAAACTAAAGTGTGCCAGCAAGGATTTTCCTTCTCGGAGTGTTCTAGATCAGGAAAACATTTATAGAAATGCCATGGAAAGCATTTACCAAAGGCCTCAGAACCAAAAACAAAACTGAAGGACACGTCACTCACTGCAGCACTCATGTTTTACTGCTTCTTCAGTTCCACATTTAAACACTCCTAGATTTCACAGCAGGAGTTCAAGTTGTGCGCAAATGCACTGGTCCATTCTAGGATTCCCATGAGCCTGGCATGAGGCACCCGTGAATTCAGTAAATTGCCAGACTCACTGGCAAAAAGTTATAAAACCAGTAAAGATGGTATCACTGACACAAATGCTGCATTGATAAAGTGTGTTTTCTATCAATTTTACCTGCCTTCGCTACACTGTCTAAGAAAATACGTTTCTGTTTTACCAAGAAGATGCTTATAATCAAGTTGGCAGGAACACCAGAAATATGAAGAATTTGTGACGATATATAGAAAAAAAATAGTGCCCTATGAAGTGTGCATCAGTGTGTGTTAGTGTTCAAAATGAGAAAGAGTGAAAAAAAAGCACCAAAAAACCCCCCAACCAATATTCAATGAAAGGCAAGGAATTTCTGGAAGAAGACAGTATTCCATACCTAAAAGAAATAAAGTGTGTTAATATCTGATGAGTATTTAAATTGATCTTGATTTGTGGATATAGGCTACCTCCTCCTTTTAGAGTCCTCCAATTCCCTCACCTTTGATAGTTTTATGCCTGTTTTTTGTTTTTCAGCTAATTAAGTCACCTTCCGTCTGTATTCTCTTAGAGAAATCAATCCCTGGTCAATAACCATACAATTACATAATCCATCTGCAGTGTTTTTTCCTCATTTCCTGCCCAGTTAAGCTTTAACTTCTCCCTCCGCTGTCTTCTCCTTTAAATACATTCATACAAGTTTGGACACCCTAAGATAACAGCTGTTATTTTGCAAGCTGGCTTTGCAGAGCCATTTTCCAGCATTTGCCTGCATGAAGGCTGCTACAAGTCTGGCATCAGGGCTGGGAGAGGTCATTAAGGGAGGGTTACAGTCCCTCTCCTTGAAAGCTTGGTCAGGCTGCCCTTGTCAAATCCTGCCTACCTTCCCAAGAGCTCTGAAGTTCTGTGGAGAGCATCAGAACGTGAAGGGATGGTGTGTGCATGCTTGTCCTGGGTTCAGCTATAGCAGTC